ATATATATATATACATATATACAATGATGGCTCATATGACAGCAATTATATTTCATTATTTTATGCATTATATCCCAAGGGTGATATGTGTCACAGCTCCATGGTTACTTCATGGCTAACAAACGATCTTTAAGTCATGTCTTGTAGCAGAAACTGGTAGTATTAATGTGACTAGATGTGAATAGACCACAAAAAGTTTATGTTACTTTTTGCGTACATTATAAGGAAAACGAAGCAGAAAACTGCACTTAGAAAAGAAACCCTAATTACTCACTTAAAATTAAAATGTTCGTGTAATATTTATATAATTGATATAATGGAACAAAGAAATTTCAAGCAATTCTTTCATGATACTTCATTGATATTCAGTCCATTGAAAGTCCAAGAACGAGTCAAAGACAGAAAAGAAGGAAGGAGATGGCGACTATTCCATGCGACAGACTTTCAATCCTTGATGTATCCCTGTTTCATCTTCTGCCGCGTTCTCGGAATATTTCCGTACAGAATTAACGCTTCATCTTACGAAATTTCTAAATCATGTAAAATCTTGTGGACTGTCATTATGAGTGTCGTTTGTTTGTGCACACTGGTGACAATCTATGTGATCAACCATTTTAGATGGTTTGAGGCCACAAGCTTACGCAGGAGTATTGACCTTTACGTCTTTTATATATTTAGCGGTTTCATAGCGGTTGCTACATACATTTGGGATGGTCCACGAATGCGTTTACTTCAGACCATACTGAAGATATCTTCCGAATTGCCTTTGGAGACATATCGGAAACAGTGTATGCTGATCCATGCCAAGGATATAATTGGTTTTCTTTTCTTATTTCTGCAAGGATCGATCTCTTTGGTCTACATGGAATATCCTGTTTTGCTCAAGATGTTTTCAATCTACATCACTATGTTAGTGCTTCAGATAGATATGCTATACATGAATTGCATTTGTGTATTAAAGGCTTGCTTTGAGAGAATCAATGACAGTTTGGCAAATCTGCTTGCAATGAACAATAAACCACATTTATTCAGATACAACTACCAGGAAAAGAAAAATTTTTTCTTGATGATGAAGCTAAAAGCTTTAGAGAAACAACATCTGTTAGTTAATGATGCAGTACAGATGCTAAATATAGTATTCAGTCTGCATCTCGTTGCTACTATAATTACAACCTTCGTTAGAATCACTTTCTTCTTGTATTATTGTATAATATTATGGCAAGATATCTTCAACTTCCAATTAACCAGTTCACAAAAACTGTTCTATTACATATTTTTCATCGCATCCATGATGTTTTATTTAATGAAAATAGCATTGGTAGTATGGGCATGCGAGACTGGCAAAGATCAAGCCATTAAGATTGGCATTACTATTCACGATGTACTCAACAGTATTAATGACAAACAAATTCAAGATGAGGTAATAAAAATGATAATTTAATTCATATATTGTTAAAAAAAATGTCTCATACGTTATTGTGCTGTTTTGTTTTTTGACATAATTACTTTTCGATCTGACGTTACAGTTGAAGCTGTTTTCTTTACAAATATTGCATACTACTCGTCGAAATACATTCTGTGCGAAGGGTCTCACTATGGGCGCGCCGCTTTTTACTGCTGTGAGTCATTCATTTACCTTTATTAATTTAATATATATTGCATGTGATTTTGCTTTTAGTTAATAGGTAACATCACCTCATATCTGTTAATCTTGATACAATTCACGAAAATATCCATTTCTTGCAAATAGTTTACAGTTCACAATATTATACAGATAATATAATTGAATAAAAATATGAAAGACGAAGAAAAGAATATATTTCTAAATATTAAAAATATTTTCTATTTATAAAACATAATCGATAAAACATATTCTTTACTT